AAGTATCATCTAATTCCAACCTCCCTGCTATGAATAGAGACACCTTCCACTAAACCAGGTTGCTCAAAGCCTAATCCAACCTGATTGTTTGATGTCTCACTGACTGGTAGCATAGCCTTCTGGTGTGTCAGCCACTCCTCCTAGCTTTGTATTATCAGCAAACTTGCTGAGGGTGGACTCTATCCCGTTGTTCAGGTCACTGATGATGTTGACCTAGACTGGACCCAGTATGGACCCCCTGGGGAACAGTGCTAGTTACAGGCCTCCAACTAGACTCTACACCACTGATCACAACCCTCTGAGCTCTGCCAGTCAGCCAGTTTTCAATCCACCTTGCTGTCCACTCATCTATCCCACACTTTCTAAGCTTCGTTACAAGGATGTTGTGGGGGACAGTGTCAAAAATCTTCCAGAAGTCACATCCACTGCTCTCCTCTCATCTCCCCAGCTGGTAATGACATCACAGAAGGCTGCCAGGTTCATCGAGCATGATTTTCCTTTGGTGAATCCATGCTGACTATTCCTGATAACCTTTGTCTCTTCCAATTGCTTGGAAATGGCATCCAGAACAAGTTGTTCCATCACCTTTCCAGGGACAGAGGTGAGGCTGACTGGCCTGCAGTTGCCCAGATCCTCCTTCTTGCCCTTTTTGAAGACTGGTGTGACATTGGCTATCATCTGGCACCTTTCCCATTCTACAAGACCTTTCAAAGATGATAGCAAGTGGTTTGGCCATCATACCTGCCGGCACCCTCAGCAAGTATGGGTGCATCCCATCGGGGCCTAAGGATTAGTGTGCATTGATTTTGTCTAGACGCTCTCTGATCAGATCCTCCTCAACCAAGGGGAAGTCTTGCTTTCCCCAGACTCTCTCCCTTACCTCCAGATCTGGGATTCCCAAGGAGCAGTCTTGGCAGTAAAGACCGAAGCAAAGAAGGCATCCAGTATCTCTACCTTCTCAGCATCCCCTGTTACAAGGGCACCCACCTCATTCAGTAGTGGACCTGCATTTTCCCTTGGCTTTCTTTTACTATTGCCATACTTTAAAAAGCTTTTCTTGTTATCCTTGACCTCCTTTTCCAGTTTTAATTCCAAATGGGCCCTAGCCTTCCTTGTCTCATCCCTGCAGGCCCTGACAGCGTTCCTGTATTCCTCCCAAGTGGCCAGGCCCTTTTTCCACATTTTGTAGGCTTTCTTCTTGCCTTTGAGTTTCTCCACGGGCACATGGGCAGCACAGAGGCCTCTGGCCACCTTGCTCTGATTTCTTACTCTTAGGGGTGCACCAGTCTTGAGCTTGGAAGAAATGGTGTTTAAGTGTTGACCAACCATCTTCTCCCACACTGGGCAGTTCATCATTTTCTCGAGTCCCTGCCTTTGCCTTCTTGGTCTGGGCTACATTGCTAGAGCTCATTGGCAGCAAAGACTGAGGCAAAAAAGTCATTGAGTTCCTCAGCTTTCTCCATATTCCAGGTAATCAGGTCTCCCGTGTCCTTCCAGAGAGGGCCCACAATTACTCTAGTCTTTCTTTTATCACTGATGTACCTATAGAAGCCTTTTTTGTTGCCCTTGATGTCCCTGGCCAAATTTAATTCTAATAGGACTTCAGCTTTCTTAACCTGATCTCTGCCTGAATAATTAAAACATTTTTTTAAAAAATATGTTTCCTTGTCTTTAGATGGTTAAAAGTGAAATTAGTTATCAAGGTGTGCATCAAGCATGGCATTGCTAGCCAGTTGAGGGAAGTGATTGTCCTGCTCTACTCTGCACTGGTGCAGCCTTACCTTGAGTAACGGGTGCAATGTGGGGCACCACAATATAAACAAACAGAAAATCATTAGTGTCCAAAGAAGGACTACAAAGATGGTGAAGGGTCTAGAGGGCAAGACATATGAGGAGCAGCTGAGGTCATTTGGTTCATTCAACCCAGAGCAGAGCAGGCTGAGGGGAGGGCTCATGGCGGCCTGCAGCTCCCTCATGAGGGGAGCGGAGGGGCAGGTGCTGAGCTCTGCTCTCTGGGGACAGCGACAGGACCTGAGGGAACGGCATGGAGCTGGGACAGGGGAGGGTCATGCTGGGTGTTAGGGAATGGTTCTTCATTGAGAGGGTGGTCAGGCACTGCGACAGGCTCCCCATGGAAGTGGTGATGGCACTGAGCAGTTCTTGGAATTCAAGAAGCGTTTGGACAGTGCTTTCACACATGGAGTCTGATTTTTGGGTGGTCCTGTGTGGAGGCAGGAGTTGTACTCAATGATCCTTGTGGGTCCCTTCCAGCTCAGAATATTCTATGATTCTATAGTCTGTGTGTTTAATTAATGAGCAAAGTATAAAGCAAGATGCTTCCTTATTTTCAGAGTGGCTGCAAGAGCCCAGTTGTTTGAAAGTGCTGGTTCACTTAAACAAGCTTCTTCAGGACGGTAAGTATCTCATACTGTTTAACAGCTTGTAAAATCCTTTGTGTTTTTCTGGCTCCAGAGATTAAAATAGAAACATTGGAGCTTTGTTCTGTGTCTTCAGGACAGCATCATGTGGCATGCAAAGCTGTCTTGGTTTGTTAAACTTATCCTTTCTACAGAAGAACACTAAATTTCATATATATTAGTGACCTGTCTATACTTTCCTGTAAGGAAATTGCAGTGAGAGATGCTCAGATTAGTGAGCTGCCTAAGAACACAGCTACAAGAGTATATTAACAGTATGAGGGCACTGTATTTATTCCATATAGCTGCTTGTATATACATACTTGCAGCAGAATAGTAAACCTGCTAGTTTATGATAATGTGCTTGTGTAGTCAAGTCCTGAATAACAGCTGCTTTAGAAAGTTCAGGATTAATTTATTGAGGATCCCTGTTATTCCCATCACACATCTCCTGCCTTACTACTTATCTGGAGAAATTGTTGTCCTTTCTTTGTGATAGTCTGCAGCAGGAATTACTTACATTTTCTTTGTAATTATATACATTTAGTTGGTGGATTTGGCCTATTCGTACATAGAATGAAGCTAGAATGTTCCTATAAGTGTTCATCTAGGAAGCAGTACTATTTTGCATTAACCAGACGACAATTAATAGGCTAAAGCAGATAAACAAATAATTGGTTCTGGGGAAAATCTCTCTCTCTTTTCACTGTCCCTGCATTTCAGATTTTTTGAGACAAATTGTATGTTTTTGTTCATCATTCTACTTAGCGATAGCACGATCTTACTGGAACTGTTGAGCAATGAAATGTTAATTGAAGAATCCAAATATATTAATAAAATAGCATAGGTGTAAACAAAGATGCCAATGTGCGCTGAGATGTATAGTAGTGGAATACAGCTGTCTTATCTGACAGATCTAGCAGGGGAGAGGAGAAAGCTGACCTGCAAAGGCCTGCTGATTTTGTTTGAGAGAAGTGGTTTACAGGAATCAAGGCTGTTCTTGTTTTGCGTAGTAGATGAACTATAAGAAGACCAAAGAAACAGTGCGATGGTGAATGGAAAGGGATAAAAAGAACAGGGAATTAATTTAAGGAAGAAAAGTATAAAAGAAGAGACTGGAATGTTCTTAAGCCAGTGACCTAAGCCAAGAGCAATGACTGCTTCACCAGTACTGCATCATTTTACTTCCACCTTTGTTCCTTCTCTCATTTTGTATTGCTCTCTTCTTGTAAACTCTATCCTGATGTTCCCTCAGAACCTGTGCCATCTCTATCTGTATATAAAAAGCATGTAAGAAGCCAAAATCTGATAAAGGAAAAATGTAGCAGCTTGATAATGGATATGGAGAGCAGATAAGGAAGCAGAAAATGCTGAAAGACTTAATAGCTCCTCTACTTCAGCCTTCCTAAGAAAAGCAGAAGAGCAACAATAACAAGGAGAATGGAAAATGAGAGGTCAGCAAGCAAAATGAGGAAGAAATAAGAAGCAGCTCAGCTGTTCCTGTAATGCTGCTCAAGTCTGACTGAGATTTTGCATTTCAGAGCCGACTCATATTTCCTTCTCATGCATGCTATGGAGATGAAGCCTGAGTTGAGTCCTTAGTATATTCTTTTTTGCTCTGAATTCATGATAATTACATTTGATCCACCAACTAGAAAGGCCTTCTGTGTTCCTAATTCTGCTGTCTAACGAGTATATGCAGGGCAGAGTATAAGACAGAGAAACTGTTTTTAAGCTGGTCTGATGCCAGAAATATTTAAGTCAGGACTGTGTTGACCTCTGTGCAGGGGTAATTTATGCTGCTATACATAAATGGTTTTTAAATTTATAGCTACTGCTTACCTTACATTACTACTTACAAAGTAGTATCTAAGTAGCTTCATTCTGACTTGAAGCATCTGTTACCTGAAACAGTATTTCATAATCACCTGTACAATAGATGGATCAAAAGTATCTATGTGGCTTTGCAGTCTCATACTGTCTTATGTATTCCATCAGATAATTTCAGACTCAGTGCTTTACCACCACAGTGACCTGGACTGACTTAATTCCTTCTTCCAGGTAGTCTTTGCACCACTTCATTCTGACTTTGAGTAATGCACTGTCTCAACTATGGAAATTGTATCCCCACACATTTTTTTCTTTTTTAAAATGATTAGTCATTATTTGGGCTGGCTGTTACCAGTCTTTGTATACACTTGCCCTTATAGTGGCATCAGTTTGAATAGGTTTTTATAGTCAGAAAGAGAAAGGTTGACAGTCCACGGTACATGTTTTAGGATTGGACAGGTAAGACCAAAATACAATGCCCTGTCCAGCCTGAGCTCTCTTTTTCCTGTTTTCAGAGTTACTTTCACTTCTCATTCATCCCATTCATTAACTCCTGACATCAAGTTTATTAATTGTCCATCTCCCATACTGTGGTATTAAGGTACTGTGCACTCTGGGACCAATCTTTGTTGGGGACTGAAAGAGGTGAAGAAATTTTCTTACTGGATTCAGAAATATTGCCATTACCTAGCCTGAGATTTCTGTATTACATCTTCTATACAAAAATGCACCAACACTGACTTTGATTTAGAGGTGCACATAAAATGAGAAACTGCATCATAAAGGATTTTCATTAGAAGAGAATACATACAAAAGTAGGGAACAGGAGCTGGTGACAGCCAGTAGCCCTGGCTTGGCAGCAGGATCTGTGGGTACCAGGCTGGGACTGTAATAGGAATAGAAAGGCAACATGAAATCCTCTAGTTCCATACTTCCCTCCCAACCATATGATTAAATACTAAATATTTCCAGTCATACTTCTGTTTTTATTTTCATGCTATATTTTGCATTTCCTTAAAAAACTGGAATACTGTTTCCAGCCCAGCCCAGCATTTTCTACTTACTCATAAGTCTACCATTTCTACGAGTCGACAAACTTTTCTTCTTCCTGCAAGATAGTATTAACTGATGAGTCATCTGAAAAAAATTCATGTGTTTTCCCTGATTTGTTCATCTGGCTTCTGTCTGTGTCTTTCTAGACTGAAAACTTACTATGGCAGGAGCATAATTTTAAAGCTTATTTATAACTGTTAAAATAGGTTATTAAAAGTACCTCAGTTGTTGTTGACCATGTATAGTCAAGTAAAATAATTTCTGATCTGATGAGTACCAATCCTTTGACTACTAGTATAAATTTGTCATTACGGTCTCAAAATAAACATTATAAAAGGTAGTAAAAGGGAAAATTGATTTTTCTCCATTGGATTCTATCCATTAAAAATCATGGAAAGCAGAAACTTCTAGGAAATGTGGGCACCATTTTCTGATTTTTTTTTCTCTGAAGTCAACACTATGAATTACACTCTTCTCAGAAGGTTAGCATCATCTTAAGAGAACCACAATAGATGACGGTGATGTCATCACATGCTTTTTAATGAGCAGACTTGATTGCAGGGAGGAGAACACTAACACCATAAGAAACAATATCCATTTTCATAATTGCACAGAAAAAGTTTCCCAGGAGTCTGTGAGCCCTTTTCCTTAGTATTGCTTTTAGATGGATAGGGTTGAAGTGAGCAGCAAGACAAAGAACCTAAGTTCTCAAGTTGGGTGTGGAAGGAATAACCAGGGGCTTGAAAATTGCTCCAGAAGTATAAGTAAATATATAAGTAAATATTCTTAGGCTTTGTGTTAGGAGCAAGGTAGTGGGAAGATAATGTGAAGAATCCAGTAATTCAGAGCTTTTCAGAGGGTGATTTTTTTATACCTTGTGTTTGTCTATCTGTGTATTGCCAAATGCTGGGTAGTTTTCTCTTTCCCAGAACTGAGCAAATCAGAGTTCATGTTTTCTTTTCTTCTTTTTACTTTTAAGATAAACATATTTGGATCAGGAAAAATTAGAAGCTGAAAACAGAGTAGTTTACTAGACATACAAGCATACAGGAGATAATTTCATTTTACTAACTTTCTAAGGGCACTAAAAAAAACATGCCGTATTTTGAAAATAGCTTGGACAATTCTCCCTCATATACATATTGCTATTCTGTTTTACAGTTGCCTTCAATGTCTTATATCACAGTATTACTCAGATGTTCCATTTTTAACATGGGAAACTGGCTCAATACTCATGCCACTAAGTGGTGAGGTGCCACATATGATCGAGTGCAAAATTGTTCCTGTGTTATAGTAAATTCATGACCGATTATCTGATTAACATTGTCATTGTATTCATTATTAACAGTTATTCTGCTGTTTTATACATTAAAAAAAATCCTTATTATGCCACATAGGAATTAAATGTGTTTTGTTGTTTTGTTTTGTTTTGTTTGTGTGTTTTTCTGAATGTTAACAGTCTGGGTCAGTATATTATAGAACATTTTTAGCACTCTAATTACTCATAATTACTTTAATAAAATAATGATCTTGGATTAAAATAATTTATATTTTATTTATTTTATTATTTATATTATTTATATAATATATTGTATAATTATTTATATTATATATTATAAATATATATTATGTAGAGTAACAAAACTTACTGATTTTTTTGTCTGTCTGTCCTGTTTACTGTAGAAGGCAAGTTCCTCATAGCAGTGACTGTATTTCATGGTGAATATATAGTCCTTGAGTCTATGTAAGATCAGGGTCCCAGTCAGAACCAGTAACTGTACTTCCTGTTGGAATATTAATGCTGGTGTTTAAAGGAGAGCACAATTAATTTTTTTGCCTATGCAGGAACTGATGGTTTCATTTCTTCTCTAGAAATGAGAGTGGATATAAAGTGGATGTTGTGTGGTGGCAGTAAATATTTTTTGTGATAATTTTTGTTGTATCTAAATTAAAAAGACACAAGAAGTAGTTTGTGATATTGAGGTCAAGTGGAATTACTGGCTTTATGTATATACACATTGCTTAGAACTGGTTCTCTTTCTCTCCCCCACCAAAGTAAACCAATAGTATCCAAAAACATAACCCCATATGATGGCCTTGTAGTCCCAAGACATAATTGATATTTTGCATGCCCTTTCTCATTACACAGTATGTTAAATCATGCGGTATGTAAATCATGTGGTAGCAGCACACCACAGTAGTGTTTTTATGATACAAAACAGAGGAAGTATTTGTAAATCATGGAGAGGATTTACAAGATCATTTCTTGAAAGCTCACACGTGCATCCCCTTTCACACCTTTTTAGAGATTCGGATTAATCACGACATGATAGTCTTGATTGGCTCCAGGGTGTAAGGCCAGGGTAGAGGGATGCTCTCTGCGCCCTTTAAGAAATGTCCCAGTCTGTCTCCCCTGGTTAGTGTGGAACTTCCAAAGTGAAGAGCCATGGCCCAGTGGCAGTACACAAATAAAACAGTCTTTTCCTTACACTAAGGCTTATGATAAGGCACTATCATTCATATGATGTATGACTCAGTTATCTCACTGTTGTGGGAGGAAAACAGAATAGATTACAGGTCACTTGCATATACACTTTCTCAAAAAGTACGCCAAAAACTTAAAATTTCACCAAAGGTCACATACTAGGTCATTGAGATAAATGCTGGCTGGAAGGAAAGCTGACCTGGTAGCCCCCTATTCCATCATACAAAGGTGAAATAATCTACAGGTTCGTCTTTGCTCGGCATAATGTGGTTTTCCGATAAGGTTAAAGAAACTCAGAAAAACTGGTGGGTCATACAAAAATTGCTTCCAGTATATAAATTAAAGTCAAGGTATTACTGTTATAGGTAAAGCACAGGAATCTAGTGAGAACTCTTAAGCAACACATCTTTATGTTCAGTCCCTCATTTTGTGCTTTGTAGAAGCGTGGTGCTAGAAGCCATATCACCAGGTGACTGATAATCTGTCCTCCTCTGTAATCAAATCAATCAAATCATATCTAAATAGTATCTAAATAGTTCTTATACAGATGTCTGAATAGTGCTGCTTTTTTTTATTATTTATTTATTTATTTATTAATGAATCTTTAGTAATTAGAATTCTTCAATTCAGAGATCCTCCAATTCTTAGCATCTTAGCAGTTCCAGTGGTTTGCTATTCTGACCAAGAGTAGGTTTTTACAGCTATAAATGAAGAGATAAACGTAGCTGTCTACATTTAGGTCTCTTCATGCCAGGTTCTATTTGAGAAAATATTTAATTGAAGGTTTCGCTAAGGGCAGTGGCACCTGGAGAGCCATCCCTTGCACTCTCAAGTAGTCATTTACCATAGCAGAACCCAGGCCTTAAGAGCCGGCTGAGCTAGGCACAAAGTTTATTTATGGACATCTGAGGTGGCCGAAGCTGTAATCCACTCCAAGTACCTAATCTAGATCTCCCATGCTGCAATTTAAATCAATTTATATCTCTTTCACAGTCAGCCTGGAGGACACATTACTCTTTTTAGTCCAATATTTGCCTTATATTTGTTATTTTCTCCTGTAGACTAATCAACTGTATTTTCTCACAAACCATGTCATTAGACCTTTAATAACTTGATGATCTCTTTGAAATTCTCTCCAGGCAGTCCATATCTTGCTTCAAGGAATTTGCTCAGTTTATATATGTTTGAAGTACAGTTTCAACTAGAACAAAAGTGTTTGTTGTTTTTTTTTAATGTTATTGTATTCCTGTTTAAATTTCAAGTAGAATGTTGATCTATTTTCTGCAATAACATACTTGATAACTGCAGTAAGCCAGGAGTTATTGTCTGCTATAATTCTGCTCCTCTGAACTACTGTGTAACTAGTTGTTATCATTATGTATTTGTGCAGCTTATTATTCCTACACTTCCTAGGTTTTCACTCCATTTTTTCATACATTTTTCCTTATTTTTTCAAACCTATATATATTTCTTTTTCTTTCAGGCAAGCAAAAGCCATGTATTCCTGTAAGGCTGAGCATAGTCATGAGCTGTCTTTCCCACAGGGGGCAATATTTTCCAATGGTAAGATGTTTTACATTCTTTGTTTACATGAAAAACAAACCAGTCAACAAATAATAATAAATAAAAACAAAAAATGAATGGTACCCACAAGATAAGAGAATGTAATTCCATTTCCAGCTCTCGGCTTTGGCCTTGATTATTATATTGCTGTTGAATAAAAGCTGTTTAAATAAATATACGAAACATGTAGGGTCTTTTAACTGTCTTAATTTATTGTAAATATGTTTTGTTTGGTTGTTTTTTTACAGTGTATCCATCAGTAGAACCAGGCTGGTTAAAAGCAACTTACGAAGGCAAAACAGGACTCGTTCCTGAGAATTATGTTGTCTTCCTTAGTAATCTTCAGTGGACAGCAATATCTTCATGGTATCCATGGTAACAAATAATAAGCACTATGATTTTTATCTGACACAGATATGGGATCAGCCCGTTAGCTGAGCGTGGTAGATTTCCTTCAGATACTGCAGCTGCAGGTTATATAGCTCCCTATCAACGGAACAGAATGTAATGAAACAGTTAACAGTTACTGTACTGAAGACGGTACTCTGTTTAAATAACTTCCATTGTTTGCAAAAGGTTGTTCTGTTCTTCTTTTATGGGTAAGGAACACTACAGAAATAAAATCAAAAAAGTTGCCATTTAGCTGCAGACCTTCAGGTTCTCGGATGTTGCTCAGAGAAGTGTGAAATTTAGAGGCAATGCACTCTGTGACATTTCTTACAATCTGTTTCTTTTAATATGAAAAATTGTGGTTTTTTTCCTAATGTAAGTAATGTTTCTATTGTGATCTGAATGCTCCCATAGAAAAATCAATTCTGAGATTAGTCCTAATCATTTCAAATAAGAAATGAGTCTTCCATAAATCAGAAGTTTGAACTTGTTAGTCACTGAGATTACAATATGTTATAGAATTTATGTAACTGATAATGAAATCAGATTATACACTGCCTGAGCAGTAAGTGCTCATTCAAAATGTGATGTGTTTAATGAATGTTTCATTCAAGTACTTCTTAGATTTATTTCCTCCTTTCTATATCAATATAAATAAGAATAATAATAACTAGTATTTCTGTAATAGCAGTCAGGTGGAAGATACTCTCGGTGTATCTCAGAGCAACAGCAGTAGAAAACAAGGAAATACTCAATCTGGAATGATGGGTAGATATGAAGTGAGCAATGAAAAGCAGCAATATGTTTTGAAACCTTAGATAAAAAGTAACTAAGTCCTTTTCAAGTTTTTTTTTCCATTTCAAATAAGACAAAAGTACTTAGCATTATTTCTTCTGACTTCCACTAAATTATTTGGCAAATGTTCCTCCGTTACATGGGATTAAAAAAAAAATGAAAAAAAATAAAATAAAATAACCTTGGTTGATAAAGATTTTGTAAATACCCATTGTCTGCTCTTGGTGGGCCTGGAAAAAAAAAGAAAAAAAAAGAAAAGAAGATATAAGCAGCTTCCTAAATTTGAACCTCTTTCTTTTACACCTTGAGGGAAAACATGCAGTGCTTACTTGGCTAGTTACCGTGGCCTGTTGAAAAACAAGATACATAAGCGCCATATTAGTAGCTTTTCAGCATTAGTGGCACAGAAGGAATCCACTGTTTCATAGACCTATTCAGTCTTAGTTCTTTGTTCAATAACAGTAATCAGTATATAAACTTCTGCTGATTTATAAGATGTACACTGCTTCCAGAATGTTTTAGGAAGAACTTTTGCTAGGACTAAAAACACCAGTAATCTACCAGTTGCTTATTTCTAAGCCTTTTGGGGGTTTAAATTAAAAAACAGATTTATTGCCAATATTAAGAAGCACATCAGAACCTTCTTTACTTGTGTATAGCGCATGATTTCTGAAAAAAAAATCCGTGTTGGAATTCAGGCTGGTGGCAAAAGCCTGCAGGATCCTTCTCGCTAGTTGAAGTATCAAGTGGCACTCAGGAAAGTGGAGAGACTGGAAGAACATCCTTTCAAGAATGGTGTGGCGTTTCAGAGGGGAGGTCTGTGGCAGTAAGCCAGGCCAGTGTGGGTAAGGCAGTTGAGGAGAGACCCCTTGAATTAGTGACTGACTGATCTGGGTTCTTTCTTCACCCTAAACAGTTTTATTAGGTCCCAAATCATGTTTTCCCTCACCTTAAGACCAGGCTGTATTCAGTACATTGTGATGAAGGGTTCATCGCAGGCAGTGGAGGCACACACGTGTGCTTGTCAAATTTTCCCAGAGCGTGAAGGGAAGTGAAGAGAAGGACTTTTTCACCAGACTGAGCCTTATTTTTAATGCAAGCCAACATTTGTTTGTGTAAGCTATGCCTGCAGCTGCTGTTGCCCTCAGATCAACATGGGTTTTGTTGTATTTTTACTGTTATTTCACAATCCAAAAATTGCAGGGTGCCAAAAGGCTTCCCTCTGTTGAACTGCTCAGGAGAATGCTGCTGCAGGGGAAGAGGAGTAGAAAGGGAGACAGAGCTGTGAGCAGAGGTTCCAGGCCCTGCACGTGCCTCACCCACATGGAGAAATGCAGTGGTCTGGGTCTATCAATTGCACCAGGCAAACTGACCTTTGTTTAACATCCTTTTCTGACCCCTCGTGCCTCTTACGAGGAATTTGATTGTTGTGAAATTCTTGAGGAACGGTGAAACAGAAAATGC